TGTATATGTAATTTCTAATGGCTCCCAACAAAGTGACAAACTATACAGATGTGGTTCTTGCTGCGTGGAACGTCCCCTGTAGTGGAGGCAAAAGAGAAAAGAAATGGTCCAAACGTCTGATATCTATATATATAAAAGCCTAAGCGACTGTTACGGTGGTTAGGGGTGAGCAGGCAGGCAAGCGGTTAGGGGTGAGTGGCCCTGGATTTCGAGAGGGTGCAGGCTGGGCTGAGGGCCCCTCCGTGCATGAATTTTGTGCACCGGGCCTCTAGTAATTAATAATTAAGGTAGGTACTCAGAAGGAAACCAAGATAAAGAACAAGTCCCAACTTGTCTTAGGTTGGGTGCCCAGAAGCAGAGTCTGAGATGGGGCTCCTGTGTGATTGGCTGAGGGGTGCTCTGGGAGGAGGACAATGAGGGCAGCCGGGGGCATGGGAGCTGCTGGGTGAAGAGGTGGCTTCAGGACAAGTCAGCTCTGGCGGGTCCCACTGGTGCTCTGGAGTGTGAACTGTGTCACAGACCCTGTCCTGCCTGGAGACAAGGGTGCTGTGGCTCCTTGTCCCCAACAGTCAGGCATTGGCCACAGGGAGGACATGACCTCCCAGGCACTTCCCTCAGCCCAGGACCATCCTCTGGACAAGGGTGTGGCAGTGAGCCAAGCACAGCCAATACCCGCAGTAGCCGTGAGACAGACCTAGTGGTCTGGTGACAGGGACCTGGGTAGGACACCAGCAGGTGGGACACCTGCTCCCCAGTGGTCAGGGAAGGCTTTTGAGGCGGCGGCATTGAAGCTGAGACCAGAAGGGCGTGGAGGGTCTGCTGAGAGAAAGCCTGTGCATGTGGCGGGTGGAGAGAAGGCAGGGTTCAGCATCCTGAGCAGAGGGAACAACACAATGGTCCTGATGCAGGAATGAACTTCTGTGGCTCAACATGAGGTCCGAGGATCACCGGGGCTGGATAAGCCATAGTGAGGGGTTTGGGTTGTAAGCTTAGGCTACAGACGGCCTTTGAAGAGGTTTTAGTGAGCAATAGGCAAGACCTAGTTTATGTTTCAGGATTATTCTGACGGCTGTGCAGAAAGTGGATTAGGGTGGGGGAAACAATGGAAATCCACCAGGCTCAACACTTTATAGCAGTGGCTCTCAACCTTCCTAATGCCACGACCCTTTAATACAGTTTCTCATGTTGTGGTGACCCCCCAACCATAAAATTATTTTCGTTGCTACTTCATAACTGTAATTTTGCTACTGTTATGGATCGTAATGTAGATATCTGATAGGCAGGATGTATTTTCATTGTTACAAACTGAACATAATTAAAGCATAGTGATTAATCACAAAAACAATATGTAATTATATATGTGTTTTCCGGTGGTCTTAGGCGACCCCTGTGAAAGGGTCATTTGACCCCCAAAGGGGTCTCGACCCACAGGTTGAGAACTGCTGCTTTATAGGATTTAATGCAAACCCCACAATTGATCTCCATTGAGGCCCAGAGAGGGTAAGCAAGCTGCCCAGAGACACACAGCTAGCAAATTGCCAGAGCTGGGATTTGATTCCAGGCAATGTTGATGCAAAGTCTTCTCCCATAGGGAGCATACTTTCTCCTAGGGGCTGCCTTGTTTTCCATCATGTCCCAGAGATGCTCAGCTCAGGGTAGGAGCTCAATAAATGTGTTGAGGGGAAGAATGTAGAAGCGAGTGAATCTGAACAGGAACAGAAGAACAGTTGGGAGCATGCTAGGTCAGAGAAGCTGAGGGAGGAGGGAGTTAGAATAAGGTGGTAGTAGGCTGGTGGTCATCAAAATTGAATTTCCCAGGAGACACACGGGCCCTGGAAAAGATGCTGGACTTGGAGGGTGGAAGTCATTAGGACCCGGGCTCCGGCAGGATCATGTGCCACTGGGAGGAACCAGACTGCAGTGGGTTAAGGGGTGAGGGGGCGGTGAAACTTGCTCTCCTGATTCCGCTGTGGCAGCCGGGGCTCTCCACCCACAAGTGAGGGCTTGACAGGCGGCAGGAACGCGTGCGCCCACATGTGCCACACACATGCAGGTGGGAGGAGGGGGAGGGGGCAGGGGAGGACAGAGGCCGGGGTGGGCTTCGGGAGCGCGCAGCCTAAAACAGAGAACAGAGTGGTGTGGGCTGCCTCAGAGTGGCGTGGGCTGCCACATCCACGCCGGCTTGTGTGGTGGGAGTGGAACAGCGTGGAAAGCGCTCTCGTGGGGGCTGGGATGCTTCTCTTTGGAGATGACAGTGAGCAAAAGTAAGTGAAGGGGGAGAGAAAATGGTTAGCAGGGCAAAGAAGCCAGTGTGGTGGGATTTTCCATGAGGCGATTAGTAGCAGTAGTAACGCACAACAGCTACTGCTTATTGAGGGCCTACTATGTGCCAAGTGTGCTTAATCTTCCTGATCATTTCAGCCGTAAGAGGAACATATTAATAGTATTATCCTCATGTTGTAGATGGGGGGACTGAGGCCCAAGTGAAGTCACTTCACCAAGTCAGTTTATAGTAGAGCTGAGTTGGAATCTGGGATAAGCAGGCTCGAAGCTCACATCCCTAGCCCCTACCCTCTTTTCGGTACTTCTGGCTTCACCAAAACTTCCTCGATAAAGTGCAACCACCTTCCTAGGACAGCGACTCAGTCACTGCCGAGTGACTTGGGGTTCTTCTGAGCCCACGTGGCTCCATTTCCTCTTCTGCAAATTGGGAATATGGAGAAACTTACTCTGGGAAGGTTAACGTGAGAAGCAACTAGATAATGGCAATGCATTCATGCTTTCATTCATTCAGTGGCAGATGTTTGTTGAGCACCTGCTGTGCGCCAGGTGATATGCTAGTTGCTGGGAATACAATCAGGACTTAGATTAAGTGCGTGATCTAATGGGACTCAAATCCAATGGAGGAAGATGGATAACAAGTGAGTCAATAAACTGACTAGATCTGAATCAGAATAGGTGTTACAAAGAAAAATAACGCAAGGGCAAGAAACACCAATCAGAAAGGATATATGCACCCATATGTTCATAGCAGCACAATTCACCATAGCTAAGATCTGGAAACAGCCTAAGTGCCCATCAGTAGATGAATGGATTAGAAAACTGTGGCACATCTACACGATGGAATACTATGCTGCTGTAAAAAAGAAGGAACTCTTACCATTTGCAACGGCATGGATGGAACTGGAGAGCATTATGCTAAGTGAAATAAGCCAGTCAATGAAGGAAAAATACCACATGATCTCACTCATTCATGGATAATAGAGACCATTATAAACTTTTGAACAATAATAGATACAGAGGCAGAGCTGCCTCAAACTGATTGTCAAACTGCAGTGGGAAGGCCGGGGAGGGTGGGGGGGCAGGAGGGAGGGGGGTAAGAGATCAACCGAAGGACTTGTATGCATGCATATAAGCATAACCAATGGACATAAGACAGTGGGGGGTAGGGGGGGCCAGGGGATTGTCAAGGGCGGGGGAAAAAAAAAAGGACACATATGTAATACCCTTTGTAATACTTTAAGCAATAAAAAAGAAAAAAAAGAGAGAGAGAGAGAGAGAAAGCATGTTGGCCAGGGGCCTTTGTGATCTGGGGAGCAAATAGCAGTGGTTATCACAATGCTCTCTCTTCTGCCCCAAACCGAAGACCCCAGAAACCTCAGCCCAGAGATGTTGGATCCTGGGGAATCCAATCCAAAGCTGGACGCCTAATGTGGGGATTTGGGAAAAGACTACCTGCCCTTCTGTTGGCTATATTATCCTTAGCGTGAAGAAATACAAGCTCAGAGAGGTAGGTCACCTGCTTAAAGTCACAGAGCTAATCCATGATGAGGCCGGGATTTGAACCTGGACAGTTGGATTCTGGGACCTGGAACCTTCACCAATAGGCTGGTGGGGAGAACAGAAACTTCAGGTTAAAATGCCAGCACCAGCCCTGGGAAGAAGAATGCCTGGGGCTATTCATAGCTGTTGCATGAATTCCAGTGTGTGAAGGGCTCTGAGTAACTATTCAGGGGTGTGGGACCTGAGGATCAGAGAGATGTCCCTGCCCAAGGTCGCACGACTAGGCAGCCAGGGAGCTGGGTTAGGAGCCTGAGGACAGATGTCTAGAGGGTATGACACTGCCTCCAGCCTGAGGCTCATTTCAGGTGGCACCTGTCAGCTGACCATCCTGGCGCTGTCAGCCACTCTGTCTGTATAGAGCAGCCGGTCTTTATGGGCATGGACATTCCTATGCCCTTTACTTAGGCAAAACTCAGTCCAGAATTTGAGTAACTTTGCATCTGGGGACACACGTCACGGAGCCCCGGGCAGCTGAGTTGGCTCTTGCTGAGTGACAATGACTCACTTTGATCGCCCCGTCGCTTTTGAACCTGTGCCCACTGCAGATAACCTTGCAGGAGGCTGCAGCCGCCCGGGAAGGTAGCTGCTCCCGGATGCTCTTCCTCGCTCCACCTGCAGCAAAGGTGGCATCCCGTCTCCCCATCAAGCTCCCTTCTCCCCACCTCTCCCCTGGGGTCTGCAGTCTGTCTCCGTGGGGAAGGCAGCTTGCCACCATTTGGGCCTGGAATGACTAATTGGTACTTAGAAGGAAAATAAAGATGCCCCACCTGTGCACACACTTGCCTGAGTTACGCCATACTCTTCAGACCTTGACTTCTTGTGGCTCAGAGTGTTCCGACTTGCTTTCTCAGGCCCTGTTCCACTCCTCCCTGGGTTGGACATGGCTGGGAGCAGGTTAGACCCAAAGTGGGCTCCGTAGCTTTGAGGCCCCAGATGAGGAAGCGAAGCAGACAGAAGAAAAGGTGACTCCCACAGATGGTGAGGACACAGCTCAGACACTGGTAGGCAGCCTTGACTCCAGCCTCCTCTGGGCATCTCACTGGTTAGAGCCGAATTGGTCAGGCCCTTGTCCTGACAGTGTAGACATCTCCTATGTTCACTTGTTCATTCAGCAAACAAGTATGAGCTCATTGCTGGAGATGCCATAGTGAGCAGCCACACAAGGCGCCAGCCTTCGTGGACTTGATGGCTTGGAGTTTACTGTGGTCGGTGGGAGAAACGATCCTTAAAGGATAATGAGAGTTGTTACTGAATTACTACACTTGTGACAAGCATGATGCAGAAGGGTGGGGGTATAGAGAAAGGGGGACCTGGCCCAGGTTGAGGGGTCTGCAGGGGGTGTGTCTTCATCCCAACTCACCGCCCAGCTGTGGACTGTTCCGGGCAGCTCTCTGACCCCGTTTCCTTTCCACATGCAACGGAGGCAAATGGGGACGAGCCCACAGAATGAAGGCCGCTGTGGTGACTGACCAGTCAGCTCTGCTCCCCGGCAGCTCTGTGCTGTATGTGAGCCTGATAGGAGAACATTTTCCCATGCAAGGCCTTGTAACTCTATGTGCTCGACCCTCAAAGCAGAATGTGAGATAGAGTCTGTTCTAGATACAGACGGATAGCGTAGAACTGTGTTTCTCTCTCTCTCTCTCTCTTTCTATCAGACGATGGATAGACGATCCATCCATCCATGCACCTACCCACCCATACATTGATCCACTTATTTTATCTTTCTACCTCCCACCTACACCTACTTTAAAAAACTTCAAACCTGAATGCCGGTAGAATATGGGCCAGAGTTATTCAAACTTGGTACTACTGGCATCTTGGGCCGGATAGTTCTTTCTCATCCAGGGGAATGTCTTGTGCATTGTACAATGTGGAGCAGCATTCCTGGCCTCCACTCGCTAGATGCCAGTTACACCCTGTCTCTCCCCCAGATGTCATAAAAAAAATATTTCCAGATGTTGCCAAATG